GGGGCGGGGCAGGCACAGGGTGGCTACTTAAGGAGGGGGGCAGCCGTCAGTCCTCAGGTTTCCTGAGCCCTGGGACCCTGGGTCGCGGTCTCCGTGCAGGGTGACGCCTTGGGTGCAGGGTGAGTCAGGTTGAGTCCTGGGGCCCCAGAGGCTGGCCTGGAGGTTGAGGGAAGGTGGCCCCGGGCCAAGGCCTCACCCGCCTCAGTACTTCATCGCCCTGCAACACCAGCTTGCGCACGTGCGACACGATCCGCTGCTTGGCCGCCTCCAGATCCTGCTGCCTCGCGTTGGCCTCCCGGACGCAGGCCTGGTACAGAGCCTCGGCCTCCTGTGCCTGGGGAGACAAGGCCAGGGAGAGGCGCGTGCGGGAGCGAGCAGGAGGCATGGTGCCAATGCCAGGGCACGGAGCTATGGGTCCCTACCTTGACCTGGGCCTCCTCTCGCGAGCGCCGCCTCCGCTCCTGCTGCTTGCTGGGGCCGGGGGACCCCTGGGGGACCAGGTCCTCGGGGGATCCCTGCAGTCGCGCCCGCAGGTCCTCACAGCGCTGAGTGTACTGGAGCTGGGCCCGCCGCAGCGCCTGCACCGCCTCGTTCTGGGCGTCCCGGGGGAGGGGCAGTCAGCAACCCGCCTCTCTCTCTCAGCCCGCGCCCCCACCCACCCGGGACCTCACCATGCGCTTCTGCTCCTTCAGCCACTGCTCCTTGAACTCCTTCCGCCACTTCTCCACCTCGGTCCGCTTGGCGGCCAGCGGCTGGCAAAGGTGGGGGAACGGGGATGTCCACGGACTGACACCCGGAGGCGCCCCTAAACCGTCCTTCAGTCCTCAAGCCCTGGCGCCTTTTCTTCTTGCTTCTCTGAGACAGACTCTTGCTAAGTAGTCCAAGCTGGCCTTGAACTCCAAGGGATCCTTCTGCCTCAGCCTCCCAAGTGCTGGGGTCACGGGTGTGCATCTCTACACCCTACTCTTCCTTTGTGGTGTAGGAGATCAAACCCACGGGCTTGCACACTACTGGAGCTACACCTTTTTCTGAATCTCTTTCCTCTAGTCTTCGCGCCTGGGCTTGTTCTCCCCGATCCCGGTGTCCACACAAAGAACCTCAGTGTCACCCTAACCTTTTTTGAGGGCTCTGGACACACAGAGGTTTTCCTTCCCCAGGACACGCAACATTCAGTCCCCCTCTTCACAAACACACAAGAGCCCAGTTTTGCAATTGCACAGGAAGCCAGGTCTGAATCTCTGCTGGGTAACCTTGGGCAAGCTCCAGACTGTCTCTGGGCCCCGGCTTCCTCCTAAGCAAAATGGCACTGATGGGGGTGGCGGTGGCGGCGGCGACTTCCTCCTGGGGCTGCGGGCAGGAAGGACAGCAGGGTTTCCCCTCACCTGGTAGTAGTCTCTCTTCTGCTGGGCCAGGGTCTCCAGGGCCTGGGCGCCCAGGTTGTAGTCGTGCTCCAGGAACAGGGTATAGATGTACTGCAGCGGCATGTGGCTCTGTGGGGGGCAGTGCAGAGTGCTGAGGGTCTGGGGACGGGCGGGGACCAGGCGCCTGGGCTCTGGGCTGTCCTGGTAGTGGCTACCTGCTGGTGGATGGATGCCTTGCCGGCCTCAGCAATCTTCATGATGCCCTTGGTGAACTCCAACTCTGGGTGGGGGGAGATAGCAGCCTGCTCGAAGGGGTTCGGGGCCCCCTGGGGGCCGGGCTGCGCAGAAGGAAGGGTCCTCACCGTAGTTGGCTCTCTTCTCTGTCCACACCAGCAGCTCCTTGGCATAGCGGCCCCACATCTTGGCATACTCCAGCGCGGCGTCCACACCCCCCTTGGTCCGAATGAGCCGCAAGTCCAGTTCCTCCCCTGGGGCAGATGGGTAGACCCCTGGCCTCTGACGTGCTCTCCCAGGGAAGCCTTCCCTCAGTGCCACAGCTCCCCGCAATCCCCTTCGGGGATCACTGTCTTGGTTGGTTTTGCAAAATCACTACTCAGACTGGGGGCTCCCCAAGGGAGGGCCAGGGCTCGGATCTGCTGTGTTGCTTGGCCCTGAGCAACAGCTGGCATGAACAGGTTTCGGTGATGACTGCCCTGTCGCCAATGTCTTGGCCTCAAAGCCCCTACCTGTCAGTGGCACAGGACCCTCTGAGGACGGATGGCTCCAGGGGCTGGTGTCACTGGTCTGGGGGAGAGAGAAGACAGCATTCAGGGACCCTGCTGTCCCCCAGCCTGAGGCCTCTCCTCCCTGTCCGTCCCCCCACACCCTGCTCACCACAGAGGCTGGGGTGGCCTTGCCAGGCTCCGGGTCTTCCTCAAGTGCAGTGTCTCCAGCCAGCACCTCAAAGTTCCTGGAGTAAGGCGTGAGGGTCTCGGTTCCACCTAGTCTGTCCTGTCAGGGGAGGGTGGGTGGGGTGCTGGGGCCCCAGGGAGGTTTGGGGGATGCCATGATGTGACCTGTGTGGCATCTGGGAGGTCTGAGGATAGGATTTTCGGGGACAGGTGAGGTCATTTTTAGGACTTGTAAGACTCTAAAGGTAACCGTGGGGTTCAGAGGGTGGGGTATGGGGAACGCAAGTGTTTTAAGGAGTCCCAAGAAGGATGTATGCAAGTTCTAGGACCACTTTGAGGCTGCATCTAACACACCTGGGGCGCCACCTCGGTCTCAGTTTACTGGGAAAATGAGTGCAGGTTCCAGGTGGGGCCTGCTTCAGGGCACTTAAACAGGTCAGGGTTTGGGGGATCCAGGCAGGATCTGGGTGACCCCTGCTCGGACTCACACATTCCCCAGTGAGATCTCGAGGTTGTCCAGGCTCCGGAAGATATCGCTGTACCTCTTCCTGCCCTCGGGAGCCGGGGGGAGCCCTGGGAAGGTGGTGTGAGAGTGGCCCTCAGGGGTGGGATGAGAAGAGAGGCCAAGCCAGGGACGGGGGCACAGGGTCAGGGCTCAGGCAGGGCGGTCTGCTGGCAGCGAGCAGGCATCTGCTGGAGGAGCAGCAGTCCCACGCATGCGGGGACAGGAGAGCCGCAGATGCAGCTCTGAGTCCCCAAGGGACAGAGGGCGCCAGTGACAATGAACCACACCGCCCCGGGCAGGCAGACGGTTACGCGCGGAACACCCAGGCATGGAGCCTGCGGCATAAACACACGGACAGACGGCAGCCACGAGGGACTGCAGGCTGGACGACCCTCGGAGAAACTGTCACCGCGGTCGCGACACCCTGCCCCCCTCGCAGGGATCAGAAGCAGAAGCGGCCACTTCCCCTTCCTGGGCCCCTTCCTCCCTGGCGTCCGGCTCAGACGGAGGCCGGGGGGACGCGGGCTGGTGTCCCGGGCCACTTCAGACCTGGGGGTCTCCACCTAGGGACCCCCGCGTGCTCCCCATTCAGGTGCTCACTTCCCGGCTCTCGGGATGGAGCGGGCAGGCGGGGCTCCCCAGTGTAGGAAGTGGGGAATGGCCGTGGCCGCCCTCCGATTCCCTCGCTCTGGACTGCTCACCTGGCTCCGGGGCGTCCATGCCAGGTGCAGGGACCGCTCGGCGGGGTCTAGCTGGACTGGACAGCTGGGGGCGCGAGGCGAGGACCAGACCGATTTCCTGCCGCCGCCCGGGCTCC